GGAGCATTTCCTCATTGTTAAATTGGCATCACCTGCCAACACCCTCCCTCAGATTCAGAAGAGATTTTGCTGGCAGATGTTTTGTTCAAGGCGCCCAAGCTGAGCCTGCGAGACGGAGGAGCGAACGCCACAGCAGCGCCCTCCCCGGCCAAGAAGTCGGCCCTCCCGCGCCATCTCCAGACCCTGCACTTCAGGCGAGAGAAGTCCAACTCCACCAGCTCCCTCTATGTAAATAGCACCATCAGCGCGCCCAACCTCGACCAAGTGCTTTGGTGGTACATACATCGCGCAGACAGCACTCGCTCTTATCTACCGACGCGGCTCAGCTCATCAGCCTCACGTTTCTGCTTCTCACCTCGATCTACGCAGTATGGCGACGGCGATCTGGTACCACTCCACCGCGGCCAGGACGCCACCCCCGTTTTGTTCGAAATCTTTGACGAGCGCGAGTACCCCATTGTGGTACACTCTCCTGCTTCATTCGATTGCTTGTCTCACCCCAACTCTTGGGGTGCTGTTCCGCTTAAGGCTCACTTTCGTTTGGTTGCGTTGTGTGTCGTGTTATGGCGAGCTCAGAAGGGTCCCGTGGATGTGAGCGCCCCAACGCAGAAGGACATCTATCGATTCGTCTTCAGCATATTCAAGGCAGAGAAGCTGCCCGCCGAGTGTGCCATCCTCTGTCTGGCCTACATCGAAAGGCTGATCGCCAATACCAAGATCACCCTCCACGGGACCAATTGGAGACGCGTCACGCTCGGCGCACTCATCTTGGCCTCCAAGGTGCGCACCGCACTTCTTCATCATCACCATCTGCTGCTTCTTCTTCTTCTTTTCCCCTCATCGGAAGCTTTCACCACGAACGAACATCATCTCACAAGTCCGTTTCGCGATTGCTCTTCTCTTCCAGGTGTGGGAAGACCAGGCCGTGTGGAATGTGGACTTCCTCTCGGTCTTTCCCAACGTGAACGTGAACGACCTGAACAAGCTCGAGAAGTATTTCCTGGGCCTGCTCACCTACAACGTCTCTCTGAAAGCATCCGAGTACCGCCCCGCCTCTAGACCTGCCTCGCACCTTCACACTGCACTCTTTTCCGGTGGCATGCCACTCACCAACCACCTCGTGGTGTGATGCATCGTAGGTACTGCAAGTACTATTTTGAGCTGCGCGAGCTGGCCGAGAAGGACTCGAAGAGCTTCCCTCTCCTGCCGCTCACCACGGCGGATGCCCAGCGCTTGGAGGTACATGAGCCCACCTACACCCGCTACACGCTTCTGGAGGGAACTGTGGGCTGTCACGGGTGATTGCTTGCCATGGCTGAACGTTGTTCGTGTCTGTGCTCGTGTTCGTTCGAAGCAACGTGCTATCGAGACAGAGAGAAGGGTCAAGAAGCTGCAGCGCACGTCGAGCGCCGATGCCTTGCCCCTCAAGTCTCCTCGCGCCGTGCTCAACTAGCGAGACTAACCAGGCCCGGACAGTCAACGTTTTGACCATCAGCCGACAACCACCTTCACCATCTACGACAGTAGTCTTCTTCCCTCTCCCGTCGACCTTCTTCTTCCTCTTCTTTCCCTCCATCTTTGCCGCGCGGCTGGTTCAGCTCTCCCCCCATTCCCCTCTGTTTTCAATGCCCCGCGCGGCGAGTGCACATACTGTACATCATAGGTAGACCCACCCTCCCCTTCGCTCGATCCCTTTTCTCCCATGTGGTGCGACGCTAAGTGATGTGAAGGAGGCTCTTCTTCTTTAAGCATCGTCGTAGTGGTGGTGGTGGTACAAGTAGTTGCGCTACGAGGGAACGTGTGTATGGGTGCTGTCTCCCTGCTCTCGCCTCGAGCCATGTTGTCTAGTGGCAGCCCGGCCTGAGGGCGCGGGAGGTCAGCGACTATCAGATCACTCCCTCGGTGTGCTGCAGGTGGTGCTCCACCACAGGTCCTCGGCGTCGTCGCCCGCCTCGGTCCACTCCAGCAGCCAGCTGGGGTTGCCGCCGCCGCCGCCGTTGTCGTCGACGTCATCGACGTCTCCGCCGCCGGCACTGGCGGCGTAGGGCGGCAGCGAGGGGTTTAGTTGTCAACTGAACCCCTCGCTGCCGCCCTCGTTGAGCTCGACCTCGAGCGGCGAGCCCTGCGACTCGTCCTCCTCATCGTCGAGCCGCCGCTCCTCCGAGTGGTGTCGCAGCGCGGCGTCGCCGGTATCGGCCGCCGACGGCTCGTCGCCCTCGTCGGTGATGAGGGCCATGACCAGGGTCGACGGCGATTCGACCTCGCCGGCCTCCATGTGCAGGCCGACGTCGGCGCCGTCTTCGTGGTGAAAGTCCTCGTGAATGATGAGGCCGCAGCCGTCATCGTCGTCTTCATCGTGGTGGTTGTGGTTGCCGAACTGCTGGTCATCGCTGTCGTCGTTGCTATCAAAGGCTCCGGTGCCGTTGTCGTCGTTGCTATCAAAGGCTCCGGTGCCGTTGTCGTCGTCAAAGGCGCCGGCGCCGCCGTCATCGTCATCTTCCACCAGGTTCTGGTCGACGTAGCCCTGGAGCGACTCGTCGTGCAGGTCGAGCTCCTCGAGCCGGTCGTCGTTGATGAGCCGGGTGAATTCATTACTGGGCTTCACGAACGTGCAGCCCTCATCGCTTCGTCTGCGGTGGCAGATGTAGTATCGTCGGCCGTTGCGGAAGGCCTGTTGCTGGTCTTCGTCGTCCTCGTCGTCGCTGTTGCCGCCGCCGCCGTCGACCTCGATGCCCTCCATCGACGCCATGCTGCTGCTGGTCGTGGTGGTCGTCGTCGTGGGCTCGCGGACGAGCACCGGCTTGGCCGGCGAGAGGCAGTGGCAGTGCACCAAACCAGTATCGTTGTCCAGCTGCTGCCGTTGGCCGTGAAGGTGAAGCGGCGACTCGCCCAGGCGAGCTACGACAGAGGGTGAGGCAGGGGCCACGGGGACCGCGGGAGGGCACGTCGGCTGCGGCAGCGGAGACGAAGGCGATTGCAGCATCTGCAGGGAGGGCACGGCCGCCATGGCCTGGCTGAGCAGCGGCGCGGGGAACGGGTTGAGGTGGAGGCCGCCGCCAGTGGGCGAGCAGCTCCGCATGGTGTTGACTGTGGGCGAGGGCGGGACGAGCCCGGCCGACGGCGGCAAGGGGGAGCGGGCGGCAGCAGTCGCGGGGCGAATGTTGGCGAGCATCGGGAGGTGCGGAAGGTGTCCACCGGAACCGCCGGCCGCCGGCAACGTGGGTGGGACCACCCCAGCGAAGGAGGCCACCTGCAGGCGGGCCTGCTGCACCTGCTGCAGGATGTGCACGGGGATCTGCCACAGCATCGGGATCTGCTGGGTACGCACTGCAAAAAGAAAAGAGAAAGAGAAAAAGAAAAGAAAAAGAGTGAGCCAGGAGCTGGAATCGACAAGAAAGTGTTGGGGAGCATACGTTTCTCCTTGACACTCAACAGATTGTGCATGTGACGCGACAGTCCCTTCTTGCCTTCGCCCTTGACGTGTCGCTTGACTGAGCACAGGTACGCGCACACGAGGCCAGTGAGCCCAAGGCACACAAGACCTTCTTATTGTGGGAAGCGAGCGCACCTCGGGTGATCTGTCCGCGGCCGTGAAGCTTGAACGTCTTGTTGCACACCAGGCAGTACACGGAACTGACGGACTTGACCTGAAAGAAGGCCGGATCGTGCCCGACTTCCTGGCAGTACCGGTTGATGCGATCGCTCACGGTGGCGGCCGTCACGGGGGCCAATTCGTCGCCCGAGTCTGAAGACTTCCTGGCCTTCTTGTGGCACGACTCCTCCTTGCGCTCCTGGGCCGGCTCGGCCTCGGTGGTCGATCGCTTGCTGCCCGCGAGACCGCGGGCCGTGGCGGTCTGCGGCGATGCCACGTCGTCCAAACACTCCGTCGGCGAGAGAACGCTTGCTTGCGTCGGCTGCAGAGCAAAGACAAAGAAGAAGCTTCGAGTGAGCAGACATAGAATATATATCTAGCGCGTATGTTGTAGTGATAGTGGTGCACCATGTGCGCTTGGTGTAGGATGAAGCGTACCTTGGCCTGAGAGAGGCACACCCAAACGACGATCGGTAGCTTCAGGTAGTCGAGCGCAATCTTTTCGCTCAAGCTCTCCACGAGCGGACGCGATACGAAACCTGCAGCAACGTAGCGCGCGCGCGATCGTTTGAGCACAGACTACTCCAAGTTCGCGATGGTGCCTTGGCCTTGGCACTCGAGCTACACTCGAGGAACGTGACGCACCATTGGCCTTGAGAATGGTGATGGCCTGCATCACCTGCGGGCAGTCCACTGGCAGCCCAACCTTCGAGGCCGCTTCCTCCACATACGTGGCCACGTTGAATCTGCGAGGAGGACAAGATAAGATGCTGATGCTGTCAGTTCTACCGCGGCCTTACACTGCTCTCAGAGATGAAAAAGATGTAGGGTGCAAGGTTGCCGGCGTACTCTGCAGATGCGAAAGGTGTCGGGGAGGCGACCGGGGGTCGAGCGCTCGACCCGAGTAGAAGCGCCTTGGGCGGCTGGTACTGGGTGGCGTTCATCATCAGCAACGGCGAAGGCGACTGCACTGCGGCCCTACACGAAGATGGTTGCCGTGGTAGTACTCCTCCGGCGGTATCGGTGACGTGTAGTAGCATGTTGCTCGAAGGTCTCATGCCCTTCCCTCAGACTCCTCTCTTGTTCCTCCTCCCGCCTCAAAACACCTACTCGTAATCCGCTGACCAAAGAATCTGCAGTCGGGGAAGTGGGGTCGCTGATTAAAAATCTATCAACTCTCCAGCAGAATTTGTAGATGATTGGTGAAATGTGAATCAACGAGGTGTGGTGTATACCTCAATCATAGGATTGTAGATTCGATCGAATCAATCTAGGGATTGATCTGGTGATCGAGTAACAAATCGAACCCTACGCGCCCTTTTCACTGCCTGAAAACGCGGAGAAAACACGAAAAGGAATCGGCACGCCTTCTTCAATGCCGGAATGCCGAATACGCCGTATCAATCTACCAATCACAGCTCGACTGCGTCCGCAACAAACCCGTGGACACGGGCACCAGGCAAACACTGGGCCTTTCTTCAGGCTCTCAGGACATCCGGCCCGCTCTGCCCCTTGGAGAGAAAGCGTGGGAGCTGATTTCCTGAAGAGGTGGCTTGACGTCACCACCCTGCGTGTATGGGTAGTGGACGTCCCCTGGTGCGTGTGGTGGTGAGTTGAAGTGGTTCTGGTAAATTTCTCTGCTCTTCGTTTGTTAGCAGAACTGGAGCGCATGTGGTGTCTTTTGCAATCATGGAAGACGGTGCGGCGGTGGCAGCGGATGGGAAGGAAGAGGAGCGTATGACTGCGGGGTGGGTGGTGGCCAACTTCGGCTTAGAAGATGCTGCGGTGCTGGCTGTGTATCTCTACGGAAGTCGCGTCTATGGCACTCACGGCCCGGCCAGCGATTGGGTATTGCCCCGCCCCCGAGACCCATTATCTTACATTTTCAATTTTATTAATTGTTTTTATTTATTCAAAAATTGCTTTGCACAGGACTACGTGATAGTGGTGGAGGGTGGGGGAGAGGGCCAAGGCGGAGAAGAGGGACGCGGCGGTGGTGAAGTGGAGGCCACCATTCAAGGGGCAGCGAGTGATGCCGACGCTACGGTCATGAGCATGACCAGGTTCGCGCAGATGCTGGACCAACACTCTGCGCCCATCCTCGAGTGCGTCTTCCTGCCGCCCCACATGAAGCTGCGCGAACGCGGGCCTGCGGCGCTGGCCGCCGCAGCGTTCGTGGTGTCGCCGCAGCGCGTGCGCGAGGCGGCGTCGTTCCGGGCCGGGCACAGCTGGTCGAAGGCGCGTAAGAAGCTTGAGGTGGCCGCCGATCGCAACGTGCGGGTGGCCAAGAAGTCACTCTTCCACTCCTTTCGCATCCTCGACTTTGCGCTGCAGGTAAACACGAGCGGGTTGTGTGCGGTGCGGTGTGTGCGGTGACATTCAAGATTGGTGGTTGGCATAGATGGCGACGGAGGGCAAGATCAGTCGGTTCGACGCGATGAACGAACTGTGGCGCGAGCTGGAGGCTTTCCCTGACGACACGCCGTGGGAGACCTACAAGCAGCGCTATCAGAAGCGGTGGAACGCGCTCAAGTCCCAGCTGCGCGCGGCCTGTCCCAAAGAGGAGTGGCGAGAGGCAAAGAAGGACCTCCACGCCGAGCACGACAACGTCCGCCGCCAGAAGGAGGAGCTGCAACAGCAATAGCCACAGCGACAACGTCGCTGCTGTCATTATTTATTATTTCTCGTGGCCCTTTTTATTATTATTCTCCTGCTTCGCACAACAGCCAAGCAACTGTTGGCGGTTCAAGGAGGCTGCCGAGCGCGAGATGAACAAGATGAAGTACACGTATGTGGATGGGCGCCCTGCAGGTGGAGCCACAGTCGGAGGAGGCCCAGTTTGAGTACCGCCCCGCCGTGGGCGATTGCCAACCGCAGATGTGGGGCGAGCCTGTGCGGGCCACGTTGACCAAAGACCTCGCCGACCAGTTCGTGCACGGGTTCGAGCAGCGGCAAGCCTGCGCGGCCAGCCACACCACCACGCGGGCGAAGGGCACCGCCACCTTCCGCCTCGAGAACTCGTTGGGTCAGACCACCGCTCACTTCATGCTGCCCTATGGCGACGCCCAGCGGCCACAGTGGGAGGCCTTACGTCAACTCGCTCACGGCGAACGTACAAAATGGAAGAGAGAAATGAGCACTTGTCTATGCTCTATTTATTTTAGCAATTATTTAATTTATATAGAATTTAATAAATAAAGAAGAAATAAAGGAACCAAAATGGTGGTACATTTATTTGTGTGGTGAATATTTCAGTTATGGTGGGGGAGGGTGACGATGAGGACGCTCACGTTGTCGGTGCTGCCGATGTCGACGGCATGGTGGGCCAGGCGCTCGGCGATCGTGTCCAGGTCGTCGTTGGTCGATGCCAGGCGGTCGTACACCCACTCCACCACCTTTCAATCGAAGAAAAAGAAAGAATGTAAGCCATTCGTCGCACGACACGATGACACGACGACACGACACGACGTGCGACAATACCTCTTGGTCGGTCATCACATCAAAGAGTCCGTCACAAGCCAGCACAACGAATAGCTCGTCCCTGTTGACGCAAAATTCGGCGATGTGAGTGTTGCTTGCTTGCAGGAGAAATGTGAGCGGCGTGGACGTACGTGGCAACGCCGACTTTTCGGATCTCCGGTTCGTTGGAGATGGCTTGGTCCCGCATGTCGAGGTTGATGTTGTTCTTCAGCTCAAAGTCCCCCATTGCCCGGCTCATCGCATGTGTGCCTGTCGTGTTGTGTCGTGCGTGTGTCGTGTCGTTGGTCGTGTCGTGTCGTCGTGTGTCAGTCACGCAACACACAATCGACACATCGAAGAACAATGACCGTAACGGTACCGTTGATGCGTCCTTCGGTGACGCGGCAGCCGGCGCGCTCGATGCGCTGGATCTCGCCCTCGACCCAGGGCTTGTGGTCCGACGACAGGGGCTCGGCCACCACCTTCGGCCCGCCCTGGTCGTGGCGCGCCAGCACGCACCGCGAGTCGCCCAGGTTGGCCACCCACAGCTCCCGCTCCTCCTTGTGAAACGCGGCGCACACCACCGTCGTGCCCGAGGTCCACATCATGGACTCGCTCTCGTCCATCAGATTCTCGTCGACCGTGGAGAAGGCCGACGTGACGGCCGCGGCCCAGTCGGCCGTGCTCTGGGCTCGGGCCAGCGCGCGGTCGATCTCATCGTGCAGGCACTCGGCCACGTACGTCGACGACTCATCACCTGCGTGCGCCCCACGAATCACATCAAAACGTTAGCGTGTGCGTGTGCGGTGGTGCGTGTGCGTGTGCGCACCTGCGTGGCCGTCGTAGACGCCGAAGAAGGCAACGTGAGGGTTCTGAGGCAGTTCGAGGTAGGCCGCATGTGCGTCCTCCATTGTTGGCCTCTTTCCCTGCACTGCGCCCAGGCCGTAAGCGAGAATCCTTCGCTCGGGCTTGAGCCCGTGTGACTTGGGGGCCTGCGCGCCGCCGTTCGCTTTCGCTTCGTTCTTTTTCGCTCCGGTAGCCGCCGGTCCTCGCGGCGAGGGCGAGGGCGATGGCGAGGTCTGTTTCGCCGGCGCGGCCGTCGATGAGGCGCCGCCGTTGGCGCGGGGGCTCGCCACGATGCCCAGATCCTCGCGTCGCTTCTCCTCGCGCTCCTCGCGCTCCTTGATCTCGCGTTCGACCTCGTCCCACCCGCCATTCTCCAGCATCTCGAGCATCTTGCCCACGCGCCCGCCCGCCTTCACCGTGCCCACCAGCCGCTTCGACATGTCCTTCGCAGCCGCATTGCCCAGCGGCGGCGGCTTCTTCACCGCCGGTCGGCTGTACTTTCGTCACACGTAATATAGATATAAATAATAATAATAAAAAGAAGAACGCGGAAGTGAAGTCGCAGTGAGTGAGAAGAACGAAAGCGGCTAGCGGGGGGGAGGCAAAGAACGAAAGCGACGACGCGGGGGGTGAACGCAAAGGGACATAAGGAAGAAGATGGGGGGGGAGAGATGGACCTGGTGTGAGGGGCGGCGGCTTTGATTTGGGAGGGGGCGGGGGTGTGGCGCGTGTCGACGGTCGATGACGAAGTCGATGGGGAGTGGGACGCCGGCGACGAACCGCCGCTCGCTGGGGAATCGTCCCCGCCGTTCTCCTTCCGCTTCTTCTCCTGCGAATCCGTGAGGTTGGCGTGAAGCGTGTTCGTCTGCTTCACGAACCCCTTGTAGTTGAACTTGTTTGCCATCTTTGAGTTTGTTTCAAGCCTTTCTATATACGAATCTCTTCTACTACTTGTACAACTTCTCCCGCTTCTCCCTTTCCTCTTCTAGCACGAGATGGTTTGGCCGTCTGACACCAAAGGAGTTGAGTGCAGCGTTGAGTTTGGCCCTCTGTATGGTGCTGGGGTGGTGCCCCAGACGACCCGTGGTGCTGGAATGGGTTGCTCCAACCCAAGGCCGTAGGTCGCCCCTGCGCCACCTTGGCATTCCAATGGCGCACAAATCGTGCTCACCTCTGGAATTTGCATTCCTCATCATAATTCGAATTTAAAGCAATTTCAAAAAACAAAACAAGAATCAAGGGCCTTCTTCTCTTGTAGAGCTCAGCTGGGCCTCAGAGGCTCTCGGTCTGCTCCACGCCCTTCCAGTACTTGACAGTCTTGACCTGTTTGTTGAGGGTTGGGTTGCAATTGGATGGCGAGTGCGCAGATCTGTTAAAATCTGTGCGAGTGCGTTGCTGATGAAGGTCATACCTTGAGTTCGTTGGTGGCGTCTTCGTCGGCGACGATGATGCCATTGGGGTGCATCTGGACGGCGGAGGCCGTCCACTGGTGGCTCATGGCGCCCTCAACGACCTGCTGAAGAGCAATGGCCTTGGAAACACCGGTGATGATGATAACCACCTCCTTGGCATCCTGCAATACGCCACCCACGGTGTCAACACAACTCGGAGCACCACACACACGCACACACACACAGCATTGGATCAGTACCATGACGGTGCCCACGCCAACGGTCACAGCGCGCTTGGGCACTTGCGTGACGTCACCGCCGAAGAAGCGCGAGTTGGACACGATAGTCTCATAGGCCAGCGTCTGGAGGAATGTTGATGGTGAGCGAGGCGGTGGAGTACAGGCAGGCGAGTTCAATGCACGGAGGTACCACAGAGCGGGTGCGCGAGGCGAGGGACGATCCGGGCTCGTTGAACGCGATGTGGCCTAAAGTAGTAGTTGGTTAGAATCAGCTGTGCGCGCTGTATGTTTCATGTCGTGTGTCGTGTGTGTGTGTGTGTGTGTGTGTGTGTGTGTGTGTGTGTGTGTGTGTAGTGCAGAGAATGGGCGGTAACCATCAGTGCCGATGCCGGCGAGGAAGAGGTGGATTCCACCATAGCTGGCGATCTTCTCTTCGTAGGCCTTGCATTCCGCCTCCTGCACTCATGCACCACCGCACGACACGAGTGAGTCATCACAGCCAGAAAACGCCCAGGAGGCTCTTCGAAAACACAACAAGCCGTACGAGATCAGGGGCGTTGCCGTTGAGGATGTTGATGTTCTGCTTGGGGACGTCGATGTGGTCGAACAGGTGACGGTGCATGAACGCCCAGTAGGACTCGGGGTGGTCGCGCGACAGACCTGGCGCGGCACCACCGCGACGACGATGTAAAGAAAAGAAAAGAAAAGATGAAAAGGCAGACACCGCAATCACACGCAACACACAACGTACCGACGTACTCGTCCATGTTGAAGGTCACCACGTGCTTGAACGACAGCTCGCCCTTCTTCACATACTCAACCAGGATCTGTTGTGCGTGTGCGGTGCGTGTGCGTGTGTTAGTGTGTCGACGGCTAAAAGAAAGAATGAAGAAGAGAGCGAAAGAACGAAAGAGGAAGCGCCGGCGGAGGGGCGGAGGTGGGGGTGAGAGGCAGACCTTGTAGGTGGCGATGGGAGAGCTGCCGGTGGGGAGGCCCAGGACGAACGGCCGCTCGGCGGTGGGCGCGAACTCGGTAATACGTCGCTTGACAAGGGCCGCCACCCACTGAGCGGCTCCCGCTCCGTCCTCCGTGATCACCAGACGCATTGTAACCTGAACTCACACTTTGATGCCACCAAAGCCACGTCTTGAGTTGGTGGTTGCTCCATCATCTACTACATAAAAATCTCAATCTCAAGAGATTGTGGTATTTCTGTAAAATGTATTGTGTAGAATAGGGAGCCGAAGGGCAAGAAGAAGCCGCTGCGACAAAAGACAGATGAAGATGGAGGAACGGGAGGCACCGGGGAGGGGCACCTTGCAGAACGCTATCCGGCCAGAAGTGGGTGGAAACGAAAAGAAAACAGATTTTCTCGGTGGCTCTCGTTGTGTTCTCCGCCTTCCACATCGCAGGCATGCTGAAGAGACGTGCGCTGAGTCGTGTTGGATCAACCCTTGCCACGTCGCCTGCAGCGCCGCTCGCCCAACCCACCAGGTCCGCCTCTCCCAACCTATATTAAAATCTCTAAATAATCTGCATGACGATAATATAAGAGATAAATAAATAAATAAATTACTAATAATATGCCTCGGTGCAGGACGCTGCATGTGCTGTCGTATCGGCGGCTGAAGCGCCTGACGGGACAGCGCGGTGCGTCGCCGCAGCGCTTGGTGTCGCCGTCGTCGTTCGCTGCGCCCTCGTCGTCGTTCTCCTCCACCGTGGCCGTCCTCGCGCCCACCGGCAGTGGCACTGCCAGCGCCGCCGGGCGGCCGCACCACCACCCGACAGCCGGCGAGCTGGTGCCACGCCTCCGCTCACTCATCATCATCATCGTCTCGCCATCGAGTGTCTCATATGCGTGTGTCGTGTGTCGTGTTACGCGTGGTGAGCCACACAGGTGGCGAGAAAGCAGGGCGCGACTGAGCTCACGGTCGAGACGACCGAAGCCGCCATCGCCGCGCAGGCGGAGCACATCCGCAACAAGAAGGGGTTCATCATAGACATGGTTCGTCAGCCACACTTGACACTAGCCTCGCCCATCATCATCATCATCATCGGCATGTTTTGTCGACGTGGTGTTCACGGTAGGACGGCGTGGTGTACCACGAGAACAAGCTGATCCCCGGCGCCAAGGAGATGGTCGCGTGGCTGCAGAAGGAGGGCAAGGAGTTCCTCTTTCTCACCAACAGCAGCGACAAGACGCCCAAGGACCTCAAGTACAAGCTGTCCAGCTTCGGCATCCACGTACGGCGTCGGCTTCACCTCCCCTCTCCGCTCGCTCTGATTGTTAAGTGGCACACGCACGACACACGACATGCGCACGACACGGCACACACTAGGTGGAGGAGAAGAACTTTTACACGAGCGCGCTCTCGACGGCCAATTTCATCAGCAAGCAGAAGCCGCACGGTACGGCGTACGTCATCGGCGACGCTGGCATTCTGAATGCGCTCTATAACGAAGGCACGGCGCACTCTCTCATCTATCAACGCGTCGTGGTCTAATACGAGTTGGCGTGTGCGTTCGGGGGAGTGCAGGCTACACGATAACCGACATCAGGCCGGACTACGTCGTTGTGGGAGAGACCAAGAACTACAACATCGACCGCATGGAGAAGGCCATCAACCTCGTCCGGTACCGCCGCCGCACCACTCCTCCCACATAGTCATCACCATCACCACCTGGTGACCAACTATTCCAACACTTCCTCGACATCGACAGGAACGGAGCCAAGCTGATCGGTACCAACTGCGATCTCCTCGACAAGTCCGTCACTGGGTTCCTCCCGGCCTGTGGCACCCTCGTGGCGCCCATCGTCCTGGTTGGATTCCTCTGCCTTCCGCCTTTGTCGCCAGCGTTTCGCTCACACACGCGGTACACTTTTGTGGGCTGAATTGTCTGCAGGCGACGGGCGTGGACGCCTATTTTGTGGGCAAACCCAACCCGCTGATCATGCGGCTGGCCTTGAGCCGTCTCGGAACCCACCGGCACGAAACCGTCATCATCGGAGACAGGTACATACACTACCACCAACGACACGTCACGACACGCATCACACATGCGACACACGCACGCTGCACACGCCGCACACGACACCCTGCTGACTGTTTTTTTTTTCGCTGACTTGATGGCGCGCTGGGCAGGATGGACACGGACATCATCGCCGGGGTGGAGTCGGAGATCGATACCGTGCTGGTGCTCTCCGGCGTGACCAGCCCGGCCGAGCTCCACCACTTTGCCTACAACCCGGCCTTCATTCTCGACTCCCTCGCCGACATCACCCGCACCCTTCCCGCCCACTGACACCCACCCTACCCACCCAAGACTGACTTAGTTCGAAAAAGAGCCTATTGGCCCCTGAGCTGTGGGCCTTCAGCAGTCTTCGTCGCCGGCGTGGCCTGCGCAGCCGCGTTTTCTCTGCCGGGCTTCGGCGCGCCGGCGGCCCTTGAAGGGCCGATTGTCGTCTGACGCTGCATCGCCACGGCCGCCTCTTTTGATGTCCCGGTGGCGGGCCACCACCTCGAGCTCGACCGGCCGGCCCGCGTGCCCTCCGACATCGGCGATCGTGATGGTCCGCAGGCACTCCTCGCGCAGCAGCCGCTCGACCACAGCCACCGACCTGTGCTTGCCCTTCTCGCACCCCAGACCGATCGCGATCACCACCACGTCCTCCTCTTCATCCTCCTCGCCCTCTGCATTATCTTCCTCTTCCTCTTCCGATTCGTCATCGCTGTCCTCATCATCGCTGTCCTCGTCATCGCTGTCTTCCTCTTCGTCGCTGTCGTCTTCGTTCTTTTCGTCGCTGTCGTCTTCGCCTTCTCCATCTTCAGCTTCTTGAGTACCCAATTTGCCGGGCGCCTTCACGAGAAGGGCGCGCAGGCGCTCGGTGAGTAGGGCGACCACGTCGGCTCGCACCTTGGCGTAGTGGAGCTCGGCCTTGGGGGCCGCCCACACGGCCGCCTGCAGCTCGCTGTCGAGCCCCGTCAGGCCCCGACGCCGCATCGACACCGGCGGGTTGGCGAACTTGCGCAGGTTGAGCGCCGCAGCCCACAGGGTGCCCCGTGAGGCTGTTTTCTTGGACTCCCCGCGGTTCTTCTTCTGCGGTTGGCCCTCTCTGCGTTCCGGGCCATAGCCCCACCCGAACGACACCAGCTCCAGCCGCACCCGCAGTGGCTCCTCCTTCTCCATCTATCTCGTTAATAACTAAAAATATAAAATAAACGAAAATATAATGATAAAATAAATGGTATTTTTTGCAGGTATTTTCCACCGAAGAGGCAGAAAAAATAATACAGAATTGAATAGTAAAGTTTTGAGAGTAAAGATAGTAAAGATTGTAGAGTGGGAGTTGATGGAGGCAGGTGGGGGTGCTAGGGGTGCCGCGGCAGATGGTGCCGTGTCGTTGGACGCCTTCTTTTCTACGTTAGAAAAAGAACTGCGCCTCCACTTGCGCGCGTTCGTGGCGCAGTGGGCGGCAGCGGGCGGAGGCGCGGTGGATGAGATCGCCTCGCACGACGTAAGGCTCATGGTGCAAAACCTGGGTAGGCGGTGGGACGACCACGGCGCTGGGCAGGCGGGCAAGACCCGCGATCTGCGGCTGGAGGGGTCGCCCATCATAGCGGCTAACTTTTACACGATTCACACCGTGCTCAACCGCTACCACCACAAGAGTGCGCCCCCATCCTGTATATCTTTTAGTTATTTATCATTTCAAACGAGATTGGTTCTTGATGAATGGAATTTGTGTTTTTTTCTTTAATTGTGATGGTAGTAATTTCTTTTTATTTGTTGTAATGGGCAGGTACGACCCATTGGGAGGTGATCGAGCAGGGGGTCGATTGTGCGGTGCGCCTGCTGCGTGCGCTGCACACCTACGCCGGCGTGGACACGCGCCAGAGCGTGAGCGGGCTGCTCGACCGCTGGCAAGCCGTGGAGAAGATAGGCCACTCTGCCTACGACCACAGCGTCAAGGTATCACTCTTCTTCCATCGGGCCACTCTCTCCCATCTTGACTCCCTGAGCCTTACACACGACACACGACACACACGACACACGACACACGACACACACCACACACGACACACATGCAGATCGCTGTGGAAGATGTAACGGATGATAGGAGCCGCGCGAGCGGTTCGTGTGGGCCAAGGCTGCTGCTGCGGAACCTGCCGGCGGAAGCGAGCGTGCGCGCCGTGATATGGGCGCTCCAGGCTCAGGACGTGGATGTGGCCGAATCCCAGGTCCACCTCGCCGGCACGGCGGGAGGCCCCGAGGCCGAGGAAGGCGACGACGGGGCTGGCGTCGCACCATCGGAGGCGTTCGTCGAGCTCAACTCGGCCGACGAGCAGCGGGCTCTGCTCGAGCTCGGCACCATTACCATCAAGCGTACACCGGTATTTATTAATTTTTATCTTCATCTTATTATAATTTATTCTTATTCTTATTTGTTTATTTTTTACTTGACAGGTGGAGCTGGTGAAGCCGGAGGAGACGCGGGAGGTGGTGCTCTACTTACACAAGCGGCTGTCGGCGGAGATCATAGCCGGCGCGTGGGAGAACGAGTTCGGCCAGGTCCTGGCCGAGGGCGCTGTCGAGTACGCCGACGCGGCGGGCCACGTGACCGTGGTGCGCCTCACGCCTGAGCAGTTCGCCGAAGTCGAGGGCAAGACGATCACGCTCCTCCGCGCCGACGTGCAGCTGCTGCCCTGGCGCCCCGCCCACGCCGTCAAGCTCCAGCTGCCCGCAGCCGACATGTCCGCCTACAGCGTGCGGTCGATCGTGGCGCGCAATCTCGACGGAGCGGCGGCGGCGATCGAGGCCCTGGTCCTGTTGGACGCGCGGTCGTGTGCGTTCGTGCACCTGGCCAGCCCGGCCGCCAAAGCGCAGCTGCTCCAGAAGAAGCACCTGGACGCGTCCGACACTGTGCCGTCGACTATCCCGCCGGCCTCGCCGACCACCACCAGTCCCTCGTCGGCCACCACTACCACCGCCACCAAGCACCAGGATCATGCGGTGCCGATGCAAGCAACGACCGCGGCAGTGCCGGCCACCAGCCCAGCGGCGGTGGCGGCAGCGGCGGCGGGAGTAGAATTGGAGTTAAAAACAGAAGGCGGCGCCAACTCCGAATCGACGCCGGACCGCACGCCGGTGGGGGAGGCGAGTGGAACGCCGCCTACTGGGGAGTGGCGGGTGCTTGCGCTGTCACCGCTGCCGGGCGCGGCGGAGGCAGGCACGCAGGTGCCCGTCGAGCAGGTAGCCGAGCTGATGCGCGCCCAGCTCGGCATTGAGCCCAAGTTCATCAGCGTCCTCCGCTACAAGGCCTACGTCCGCTACCACCCCTCCCCATCCGATCCGGTCATCGCTGTCGGTCAGACCGTGACCCACAACGGAGCTTTGGTACCCTCGTGTCGTGTCGTTGGCCGTGTCGTGTCGTGTGCCATCGTTGTGTTGGCTGACGATGAAATGAACAACGGCGGATGGTCAGGTGAATGTGGAAACGATTGCAGGCGACCTGCCCTGCTGGCGGATCGGCATACGGACCGGGGCGCTGCCGGGCAAACCCCACAACGCCCACGTCGCCGTGCCCGCTTTTCTCCAATTCCTCGCGAACTCCGCTCCGCTCGTACAGCCACCCCGACTCCCGAGTGCTACGTGGCCGCATGTTCTGTGTTTCGTTTCGTTTCGTGTTTTGTTTTTGTTTTTGTTTTGTTAAATGAGTGGGCCGGTGGCTGCTGGGAAGCGTAGCAGGTGGGTCGGTCCTGCATCACGCCAATCGACGAGGCCACCGTGGAGATTGGCACCGAGGCTCTCTTCAAGCAGCTCCTGGCCCTGCAGAGCCAGACTATGAATGGTGTCGCGGTACGACACACAACACGCAACATCGCACACGACAAACACACATTGAAAACGCGGTACGGACTCGCTGACCAGCTGCCAATAATCGGCAGTTGACCTTCTTCGACGCTCGGCTCGATCGGACCGAGCAACTGGACGACGTGGCGCTGGTCTACTACCTCACCATGAAGAAGAAGGGCAAGCCGGTGCTGTCCGGCATCGAGAAAGTGTACTCGGTCACCACCACTGCCTTCTGGGTCTACGCCTCGCCTACCGCCACGTCATCCACCACCGCCGCCGCATCCAATCCCGGCGCGGCCCGCGCGAAAGTGGCGTTCGTGCGCATCGTCGGCCAATCGCCCGAGTCGGTCGACGCGGCGTGGAAGCGGCTCTGCGCGCACCTGGCCACGGTGGTGCGCCGCCGGACGCAGTTCACGTTCCTCCGGGAGGAGGTTCTGTTCCGCGCCTGCTTCAAGCGCAAGCTCAAGCCGCTCTTCTGGCGCTACGCCTCGACGGCCATGCACGTGGACGACCCCGAAGACGGCGGCGTCGCGCAGTCGGTGGTGGTGATCCACATCGTCGGCCCCAGCGCGCAGGAGGTGGCCCGGCTGGCGCAGGAGCCCAACCACATCCGCACGCGGCTCGTGGGCGAGCGCTCGCAGCCGGTCCTCGCGTCCCCGCAGCAACTCGATCT